GAAGAACTCTTTTTAAATGCATTTATTTAAAGATTAAAATTATTTTATTTTTCTCTCGAAAACTTGTTGAACAGTATATACAAGTATATAAAAATGCTGTGAATGAGGACATTGAGCCTCAGTTTTTGAGCACAAAAGACTGCAAATAAATTATTTACGAAAAAGGCATTTGAATCTAATTAAAGGCAAAAAATGTTATATAAGAAGAAAAAAGGTTTTCTTGAATTCGAGTCAAACATTTCTGATGTGAATATTTTCACGCATTCAACACATTTGGAAAACCCCTATAATTGCTATTTATTTAGTTTTTACGTTCGGAAAAACGTAACAACAATTATATTCAATGAATTTAAGTGATACTTGTGTTGAATACAATATAAAGTCTTTTAATCATATAATTGCATAATAATAATACATTTTAGTAGCAAATCATTGGTTTATCTTTCGTTGAAAATGCCATACAATTCACGAACCCTTAAGTTATACAACATGTGATGGAAAGTGTGGTTAGAATTAATTGATTACGAGTTTGTGCCGTAAATTATATTATTATTAGATTTTAATCGAGTTTACATTTCAATTAAGTCAATGTAAAGCACTTTAAAGTTACTATTGAATGAAAACTACTGAAAATTAAAATCAATAAGAAGTACCGGTATATAAAGACTTTACAAAAACTTGTATTTCAAACCATCCCTTGCCTTAACCTCAGGATTCTTTAGTCAAGATTTTTGTCATTTTTTAGAAGAAACTAAAAATTATTTTTTAAAATAACGTATCGAAGCATAAAAGTAATACATTAATCAAAAACATAACTCGAGTTATTATTATTACAAATGTTGTAATGAATTTTGTGTGCAAATTATTTAAATCAAAATTTATGTCTTTTTCCTATAACTACAAAAAAAACTCTTCGATATAAGAGATAGCATTGAATTTATTTAAATATTTAAACTGTGTTTGTGTTGTGTATATAAAAACATATGATAATTGATTGTAAATCACATTTTCAAACGATAAGCAATTTCTCAAAATCAATACTATAGCAGAAAAAAAGTTTCCAAAACATAAACAAAATAAAAAGTTTTTTTAGGAACAAAAAAAAGTTGAGAACTTTGAAAAGTTTTAATACTTTGATTGAAGAGTTGGTGTGAGTGTCACGAGAGGTCACACCAAACGCTTGACACCAAATTGTGTGCAGTTTTTGACAAAAAACAACACAAAACGCATTCAAAGAGTGAACAAATTAGACTACAATAGACTAGACGTGCGCTCACTTTCCGCCCGCACTTTCAAACACAACAACCTTTTTGTCCACACTTTGGCCTAAACGACAAGTCTTACGAATTGACCACAACTTATCATTTGATGTAAAATCACCGCAAATACCAAATGATGTGAAATTAAGTTCAAATAAATTGCCCAAAATGTATAATGCATTCAATTGGACTCAACTTTGATATAATTTATCAAATGTTTGCATTTAATTGCAAAATATTTGTAAAAATATAACAAATGGTAAAAACACTAACAATTACTAAAACATAATTACAAACTAAAGGGAAACAAATGAATAATTAAAATACAATATACACTAAATGCCTGTACAAGTTGTGTGGGTCGGTGTTGGGGTCGGGTCTGGGTTGGGGTTAGTGTGCAATTGTGGCCGTAATTGATGTGTTGAGTAGTGGTGTTGTGTTGAGTGAGAAAATGGCGCCAATAGTTGGGTTGTGTTGTTGGGAGTGAGAGCTGTGAGTGCTGTAGAGCTCTGACGCACCACTACTTCACCACTACTTCTCTCTACAGTTGTGTTCAAACGCTAGAGTTTTTCGACTCTCTATTCACTCACTATTTTGAGTGTTAAGTCGTGTTTAGTATTGAATGCGAGCATTGATTGCGATCTGAGAACTGAGTCGACACTCACTTTGTATTGAGCGCTAACTCAACGCCAAAACACTAATACTATTATTATTTATGTTTTTTTCATTATTATTATCATTATTCAAGTGATTATACATTAGTATTGACTCAATTGAGACACTCATCCCAATTGTCCACCAAATAGTCGGTCCATTGGATTCAGGCATCGCTTTCTGTGTGTGTTTTCAGTGGACGTCCAGTGAAATAGTTGTCCAAATCGTTGTCACCCTTGCGTTCAAACGATGGACCACTCGTTCAACTGATTTGATTGTCACCTATTGTTGCCCTCAGAAGATCCCAAACCACAAGTGCTTGCATTTGCAAACACATTGTATTAGCGTTTTGTGTGTCAAAGCGTTTGATTGAATTGTAAGTAATTATGCGTTCATTTAGTTCTCGCTGTTTATAATGGTATGAATGGTGTGAATGGTATGGCGTGTATAGTGTGTATAGTATAGCACATATAGTGGCGCCAATCCATGCCATCCCATACACAGCCATCAACACTATCCACAACTTCTACATCCATGCCATCCATTACTGCCAGTGAATGGCCAACACATCCACTCATACCTCTTGAGCATCCGATGATCGCATGCATTGATTCGGACATTAAATGCTTGCCATAAGTGTGTTGTGAGTCTGTATGAGAGCCAGTGTTAGGGTTACTGGCCTTCAATCGCAGGCATTGCAAACTGAATGCCATTGGCATCGCTTTCTGTGTGTGTTTTCAGTGGACGTCCAGTGAAATAGTTGTCCAAATCGTTGTCACCCTTGCGTTCAAACGATGGACCACTCGTTCAACTGATTTGATTGTCACCTATTGTTGCCCTCCAGAAGACCCCAAACCACAAGTGATCGCATTTGCAAACACATTGTATTAGCGTTTTGTGTGTCAAAGCGTTTGATTGAATTGTAAGTAATTATGCGTTCATTTAGTTATCGCTGTTTATAATGGTATGAATGGTGTGAATGGTATGGCGTGTATAGTATAGCACATATAGTGGCGCCAATCCATGCCATCCCATACACAGCCATCAACACTATCCACAACTTCTACATCCATGCCATCCATTACTGCTAGTGAATGGCCAACACATCCACTCATACCTCTTAAGCATCCGATGATCGCATGCATTGATTCGGACATTAAATGCTTGCCATAAGTGTGTTGTGAGTCTGTATGAGAGCCAGTGTTAGGGTTACTGGCCTTCAATCGCAGGCATTGCAAACTGAATGCCATTCACTCATCACCAAAAATAATAGCTATTTTAACAATTGATTACTTTATTTAAACATTTGCTGTCTATAGAGGAGACACTTCTTTAGTCTAACAATTGAATGCATTTTGCGATTAAGAAATGGAGTTATCTTTAGATTGTATTTATTGAGGATTTATATGAATTGTCTCATTGGAGGCAAACATTAGGTGATAAACAATAGATAAGGTTTGGGTTGACGGACAATGAGGTTGTGTTGGATGTGTTGGTATAGTAGGTGGTGGTAATGGTATGATAGGTGATGGTGTGGTAGAGTGTGTCTCCATTTTGTTGATGGTATCGATGATGGCATGCATTCTCATGATTAGAGTCCTTGAAAAGAGGCCTTTCCTATAGTAATGCCAATTATTTATCTCATTTAGAGCTCTGTTTTGGCAAACATTCTCTCATTTTGAGTATATATTTGAGTCCAAAACTCAGCCCAAACTCCTCTCCCAAACCATTCCCAATCCCTACTCCTCTCTCTTGCTCTCACACAAGTCAGTGCTATCCCTATGGCTATCCCTCCTATCCCTGCAATCCCTGTGCTGTTGAGTGTGGCGTACATTAGACTCGTCTCTATCTCACTCACTATCATGCCTGGCTTTCGTTACCGTCTCAACCTCTCTCGCTCTCTCGTGACCGTAGTGTCGGTGGTGACGGAGGTGACATCCTCACAACGGTAAGTGACCTTGACTTCGGTGTTTCGGTCAATACATACCAATGAATGGACACAAACCCCCGTTTGAATGCCAGTGCGCGCCAACCCATGCCATACCCAACCATACACTACACTCTCATTGTCTGAATGCGAAGATGTGTTTAATAATGTGTTTTACATTCAATTCTAGTCTTCAATCAATTGTCACTTAAATGACTGAAGAAATGACTGTTTTTGGCAATTCATCGCAAGACACGATGATTGTCACCACTGTCTCGTCCACACCGCTCGACAACCAACTCACCAACACTACCACTAATGCCACCATTAGTGATATGTTGATCGAAGACACCAACACTTCCACAGACATTGGTTTAAGTGATCCCAATTGGAGTACAAATATCTGTATTAATGCCAACAGTAGTAATAATAACAACAATATTAATGACAATTCAATGATTGGCAATATTAATGTGAGTCAAAGTGAGGAACAGTTGACAAATCCAGACGATTGTCTTCAGCCGATCGACAGACTCGAGAAGTATTGTCTGTCAGACATCATATTTCATAGGTTTGTATGAATTGTTTTTGCCATTCATTTGCAATTTATTAGCCATTGTTTTGAATTAATCTCTCAAATCGACGACACGTTTAAAAGTTTAGAAACTATTTTTAAATAATGATAAGAGAGTGGAGAGACTGGAGAGAGAAAGGGAAGAGAGACTGTCTTAAAACAGACTTTTCTCATGAAAGACATTTCAGTCTTGAATCTTAATGTTTTCTTATAAACAAACCATAGATTGAATGCAAACATTAACTTTCGGGAGTGTTTTCACTCAATTATGTCTTTGATTCAACTTTTTATTAAGCATTTTATTATTGTTTACATTTCGTATGAGAAAAATTTGAGTCATTTTTTGTATTTTTTGTTGAATTGAATGAATGAACGAATGATTGCATGAATGGTGTGTGTAATAGGAGTTGATTTGATGGTCGACTACCTAAACGCCCACTCCTTAAGACTAAACACATTTGAATGGCATGAGTGATATGTACAGTGTATGTGATGTTAGTGTTGTATTTGTTGGGAACCGTTGTCTAAATGGTAAGGAAAGTGCTTTCTTTTTGTTTCCAAACAGCGTTTCATTGAACTAATGGCGCGAAAAAGTTGTAAAACTTATTTCAAACTCAATACTCGCCGCCAGTGCTGTGTATTTGAACTGA